TTTGGTAAGCATCAACACTAGTGTGCATCTTTCCAATGCGGTAAAGATCCAGATCAGTCCTGGGACCTGGTAGCCTAATTAAACTACCTCAAGGTTTTACCAAAGCCCAGGGAATTTAAACGTTATTATTTATGAGAAAATTGTAGATTGAGTCGGGTAAGAAAACATCAATTCTATCCTACCTTATGGACAGCAGAATGAGTTCATGTTTATTACACGATGAAAATTTCATAATTATTTTAGATCCTGCTCATGTTACCTCTTGCTCCGAGTCATTTCCCGGAAAACGATGAAAACTTATGATTTTTAGTGCGTTTTGTATGTATGTATTTTTATTACGGTTTATGCGGAAACTAATTGAATGAATGAAGCAGTGAAGGGATGGTTGTAAAATGCAATATGAGAAAAACACTCATAATCAACCTATAGGTGAACATTTGTAAATTCACGTACATTGATTGAAAATTAAACTAAAATACAATTTATCTATTTGCATTTTTTTGTTCAATGTTTCTTGATTTCGTTCCAAGTTATTGCATTATGTTGCATCACTTTTTTCCTAGGCAATCGATGATTTTTTTTTGTTTAAAGAGTGGAACGGATAAATATAATTAAGTGCACACTGATTATGTTATTATATAAATGATCAAACTTTTTTTTTTTTTTTTTTGAAGTTCAACGGCTACAAAATATAGGTATATTATTGTATTTGTATCAGCCTTATTTGCTGCTGAACGCCAATTTGCTTTGAACTGTTTCTAATTTTTCTTTAGGTTTCGCTTAACGATTGCCCAATATTTTTCAATTGGGTGCAGCTCCGGCGAGTTTGGATGGTTTTTTGTCCTTGGGTACGACTTGGACGTTGTTGGCGGTATACCATTCCTTAGCCATTTTCCCATAGTGACAGGAAGCGAGGTCTGGTCAAAACAGCACGGAATAACTGTGTTTCTTCAAAAAAGGCAACAGGCGTTTTTGCAAACATTCCTTTACATAAATATCTTGGTTAACAGTGTAAGTTTTCACTTTTCAACCCACGTACATGTGCAAATCGCCTGTAAAGTAAGTATTTTTTCGGTAGCTTTGGCAACTTTTTCTGCTTAAATTTACCTGTCCTTTTCCGGTAGCCGTGTAAAACTCTTGATCTGGGAGCTGCTTGAAATCCGCTTTCACGTATGTTGCATCGTCCATTATGACGTTTGCATGTGTCATCTCGATTGGGTGTCACTGTAACCTTGTATGTTGACAGTCCGGCTCGATTCTTGGCTCTTTGTGCTGTTGTGTGTGCTATTCCCAGCTTTTTTTCCGAGATGTCTGATGGAAAGGATAGGATTACGCTTGAAAACACACGGTTTCCTCCTGATCCTGGTTTCTTAGCAGTCGTCAGACGTTCTCCAAACAATTTAATAACGTTTGTCACAGTCTACTTGGCCACTTTCAGCGATTTTGCCAAGTCTGCGTAGGAAACATTGGGATTTTGCTTAGCACGAGCAAAATTTTGATACGCTGTTCCTCTTGCTTCGACGCCATTTTGACAAACTGAATAGTAAATGGCAATAACAATAGACCTTTTTGACGTTTAATCGTCTTTCTCTATCTAGCACACATGGATGAATGGACGGTTTGTTTTCCCACTAATCTGTTTCCCTCTTGCTCGCACTCGTTCGATTTAAATGGTGCAGTAGTGTGCGCCGATAATACGTCCAAAAGCTCCACAAAAAAAAACACCACATTTCAGTCGACCAATTTTTGACCGTTCCACCCTACAAATGGAAAAACTAACTATTTTCTTTAAAGATAAAGAGGAATTATGTCTTCAGCCAAGTTGTAGAAAATGATAAAACAAGCAACTTTGCTGAAGAAGCCAAAATTCTAAGTCCAGTATTTTCGGAGGTATGGCGCATTTTTTATGGCAACAACTTTAAATTTAGCTTTTCGATCATAACTACTTTATAGGGATGGATTTTTTCAAGACTGTAAGACGCTATTATTATTTCTTGTCGTTTGTTTCGTACATGTCGATATTTCCGTGTCCTTTGTTTTGTACATGTCGTAGTACCTCATTACTATGGAAAAATAATGAGTTCTAATGACGCGCTCTCTAATTAATGAAAATGGGTCTCACAAGAATCCTCATTTAATTGTGATCATTCGAAAAGTTCTTGGACCTCTCCAAAGACGCCGCTTCTCATCAATCAAAAAAGGTGTCCTTTAACGACCGATGATACTGATGATGCATCAGAATCCTGGTCCAAACGTTTTCTTTTTTCCAATCTTAGTTCCTCGGAGACTCTCAAAACCGAGGCTCATTTCGTCAACAAGAAGTGCTTAGGGCCAAAGTTTTATGTGGTAGATCTTACACCAGTAATACTTATCTATCCGTTAACTGGACTATATATTTAATGATATGCTAGGAGATAAAAAACGGACCTGCTGCATTATTTTTTTTCCAAATGATTTTTCCTCGACCAATTTTTGTTGTGTACGTTCTGAAGGGTGAAAGCCTGTTTAATAAATCTTGGGTCATTCGTGACTTGTCCGGGGGTGACATTTGAACTTGTGATGTTGGCGTGAGAGGTATGGATGCTAACGACTACGCCGGAGTCGCCCCTAAAGATAAAGTAACTAACTGAACTTAGTTGAATTTTCATATTTCTTAATTGCACGGCGGCGATTTACGGTACATCAGTGTATAGATCAAAAACAATGTGCATGATTCTGGGTCTACCAAAATTTTGAGATCTCGGACATAGAAGTTTTGTGAAATGTGGGACATCTTTTGTAGATTTATAATTTATATCTAGATATATAAAAATGAATTTCTGTTTGTCTGTCTGTCTGACCCTTATAGACTTGGAAACTACTGAACCAATCGGCGTGAGTTTTTGGGGCAGGGAAAGGTTCTTTTGATGGTTCGAGACCCCTCCCCCGCTCCCATACAAATGAAAAAGAAATTACTGCATAACTCGAGAACTAATCAAGCAAATGGAACCAAATTTGGTATGTGGAGGTCATAGGGGGTAGCCCCTTTGATAAGAGGGGGAGGGGGCAACGTACAATATAGCATGCTTTTTTTCTTATTGGAGCATAAACTCAAGCTTATGTTGAATCCCGAGCAAGGCTGGGCACACTCAGTTAGCAAATATATAAAGGGGAGGTGTACCAGTTACGGCTATACCACAGACAAACAGACATAACACATTGAATATTTCTCACTGTAAAACATCGTCGCTTAAACATTACCGCCATCTGTTGAGTAAACTGTGGTGGGTAGTACGCTGAACAGATGGCGGTAGTGTGTAAACGTCAAACGCAAGGGAATAGACTATGCGCGCCACAGGTGGCGGTACTACCAACTACGATACTTTTAAATTGACCGTTAAATGCTTGTTCGATGAACAACTTTCGAGTGTTATGTCTGTTTGTCTGTGGCTATACGTTCCTATTATGATATGTTCCAAATATGGCCTATGGAATTTCTATAGGCCATAATAGGAACGTATTGCCACTCTGTTTTATGCGATTTTCTGTAAGGGGTCGAGAGATTTTTTTTCCTTTGATTTGTTTTCCTCCGATCTTGTTTTCCGTACTGAGTACCAATACTACCGACGCCAGGAAGGCAGCTCCCACACCTGGACCCAAGGGGTAAGTCACTCAGCACATTGTGCCGAAATTAGATTCGGCACAGCTTGGGCACATCAATCAGCACAATCTCAGTGGCATTGGATTGTTGTAAATAAAATGAGAGCACTGCTGGACAACTGTCATTGAAGTTGTTCACAACAATACGTGCTGTTTGACTGTATTTTCAGGAACATCCTCTAATTGAGTATACCAGATGAACTCAGACCAGCAGTTCACTTATAGTTCTAAATATGAAATGTAGGTTCTAGACTGGGCTCAAGAGAAAGACGCAGTTAGTACCGCATTAGTACCCTTAATTCAAATGATGCTGCTACTCACACAACACAAATTCTATAGTCGGTCTCCAACAATGCTCCCCACCGGTTCCAACTCTTTCCGGCCGCTGATAGGCCGATGCTTTTCACATAACGAAAATCTAGGTTTCTGGTCTACATTTGAAGGCATTATAAAGCACTCAAACACAGGACTTTTATTACCCTATGGAACACAAAACACCAAAATTTCACACACCCGCCACTTCCCGCGTCATCCTCAATCCGATTTTTTTTTTTTGAGTACCCTCCACTCTCCCCCACACCAATAAGCTCCATTTTGAGCCCCCTGGTAGTGGACACTCAAAAACTCAGCCATAGGCAATCCTTGCGATTTCAAACCAAAACATTCAAGGTGTCAGAAATACCGGGTTGCTTGGATGGGTATTTTACAAACAATCGCAGCTTGCTCTATGACCGGCAAAATCGGCACACCTGCAGCACACTGACAAAAAAGATGATCCAAGATTGGTGGTCGGAGTGACCTACCCCTTGCCTGGACCCTACCTATCAACCTATCAACTCATAGACCGGGGACCAACGGCTTTACTTTCTGATCAGAAATGTTATGCCTCAAAAAATCCCGACGACGCCAACTGGGAATGAACCCAGACCTTTCGGGTGAGAGGAAATTACGCTTACCACTACACCACCGGCGCCGAGATGCAATCTTCCATTTTATGCTTACATAGATCTACGATTTTTTTTTCAAATGAATCTGTAAAACTATAAAATGACACATGCATTGGCACTGAGAACAGTGTTTGGTTAAACGCAGGTCTTATAAAGAGAAAATAAATGCCGCAATTGTATTGACCCAAACATACCCTACTGGCAGATCTGGATCTAAAGCTAGACAGAGTAGGTGTACCAGTTATGGCTATACGTTCCTATTATGGTGTGTTCCAATTATGCCCTATGGAATGCCTATAGGATATACTTGGAACACACCATAATAGGAACATATAGCCATAGCTGGTACATTTACCCTACCAGTAGAAGAACTCTTAAAGAACATTGAGAAGGATAATTGGTAAATAAACTTACTTTGAACATGGCACAGTCCGACCGAAAATTGTCCCAGCTCGGGCATCTGTCGCAGGATTTCCTCGGTCACCAGATGGACACCCCGGTGCTGCGGTCGCAGATTGATTTTCCGCTGGAACCAAGCCGAGCCAATCTGTATGCCACGGTGATTGGACGAAGCCATGTTGCGACTCTTCTCATACGAGTCAGGCGGATGTGGATGGTGCTGATGACTGGTGGCCGAACCTCCGCCGCCGCCTCCGCTTTCGCGCTCTCGTTCAATGGCGCCTGCCGTACCTCCCGCTGTGCGACCTCCGACAGACACTGACAGCAGTAGCGAGGAGGAAGAATCGTCAGTGACCGAAGAAGGAGGACTTCTTCGCCGAGCGTGGTAATCCGTTTTGCTGCTTCGCCGGCTAGCACTGGCACTACCACCGCCGCCGCCGCCTCCGCTTCCGCTACTCTTGGTCGGTACCTGACTGCGGGAACGTCGACGTCCTCCTCCTCCTCCTCCCGCTCCTGCCCCTGTCGTTGATGTTGATGGTCCTGCTGCTGATCCTACCCCTCCTGCTGCTGTCAGTGGTGCCTTGCTGCTGCTGTTGGTCGACGTCGTGACGAGCTTTTTCTTCCCAGATTCACTTGAAAGTGCGATTACTTAATCCACTCGCCTTTGACTGTTTATTTATTCTTCTGATAATCACCAGTTCTGCACCTTTTCTTATTTATCTCGTATTATTCGCTAGAGCTTCAAGAAGGCAAATTTACACACTTGATTCAAGTGGCACACTCGATAGGCAAATACCTTTCCCCAACACGAAGGATTCTTCCTCGACTGTTGTTGCAATAGAACACTCAATAAAAAAACTGCACTTCTCTCCTTAGGAATTACTCTAGCAGAAGATTCTAGGAAGCATGGACAATTACATACAATCTCGATTTCGATCCTACGATATATGCTACTTTGCCTTAAACCCTATTGCTTTTTTTTCGTATTATGACAAAATTTTCCTCTGATCCACAGCTTACACAAAAACGAACATAATCCGAATTTTCGAAAGGATGTAGATTTTCTCCCTTTTCCTCTGTACACAGCACCAACCGATAAAAAGAATCAAATACAAGGTTCACACTAGGTATCTTCTTCACTGATTGTATGTGTATGAGCCCTCCGATCAATCGAAGAAAAATCAAATTTTTCCTTTCTTCCCAACTCACTTAGCACTAACTCTTCACCAGGTTTTCCTCTTCCTTGCCGTTATGGTAAGTTTTTTTTAGCCTATCTTGGTTCGAAAAAAATACCCGAAGCGGATTTTACTATCCACTCTGCATGCTTGCCTGCTGTCAGACACCGAAAATTTGAACCGCACACACACACTCTCTCAGCGCTGGTCCCAGTAGTGTGAATCCTTCCGCACCGAGTAGGTAGGAATAACGCAATCTGACGTGACGTGAGGAAAACACCGCACAATCTTCAGCACTCGCTCTCTGTCTAGCAGCTCACTTTGTCAGCTCAGTCTCAGTTCCGTGGAGATTATCTGTGTACCTTACTTCCGATTATTTTACAGATTTACTTTAATCTTCTTAAACTATCTGCTGTTTTTCGCTTCGCTTCTGCGTCAGTGAAAAGTTAGTTGGAAAATTCCTTCACCCTTTTGACACAACTTTCGGAATGTCCTTTCTCACGTTTCACTGGCACACGAGAACTTTATTTCCCCTCTCTCCGTCAACCTGGCCGACAGCCTCGTTATCCTTTTCTTGCTCGCTATTGTCCTTTCGACCACCCAGCACCCAGCAGGTTCGTGTCAATATCGCAGTAGGGTATATGCAATGGAAAAAAAAGTACTGAGGAAAACGATTATGCGACTGTCACTGCATTTGAGCTTCACGCTAGCCAGGATCAGGGAAAGGATTTTTTTTATATGTTGAGAAAATTCCTTCACCTCAGCAGTTTGGCGGTGGTAGGCTGGCGTTTTTTTTCCCTTCTCAACCTTAAAAGCTGCTCCTTTCTAGCACAAGAAACCTCCTATGTTGGCTCTTTCTCTGACCTCGCGCTCCTGTCCTATGATGCCTTTTTCACACAACAGAGATTCAGGTGGAACAACAAGAAGAATAAGCACAAGAGAGCGAAAGGGGCCGCGTTTGAAAATCGGGTATCAGGAGTCCAACATTTTTCCTCTGCTTTTTCTTCTCCTGCTACTAGTACTAGTGGTCCTTGGGCTCACTCCTACTCTTTACCGATCTCGTCCCACCAGCAGACCATCGACGTGTGGGAAAATCTATATTCCTCCTAGCACTGTTCTGGATGTGTTGTCCCCATTCACGGCTGGTTCCCGGAAAAATACGCCTCCTGCTATCGATCGCACACCAAATGTTCTGCGGTTTTCCAGCCCACACGGCACTTTGCTTTTTCCCTCGTTCCAAATTCCAACGCTCTTTTTCACTGCGAGGGCATTACTTTTATCTTCACTTTTCAGAGCTCACTAGCGCAAATATAATGATGGCCACAAAATTCGACCGACGACGACGGCGACAACGACACAAGAGGAGCAGCACAGCTTTGTCGTGTTTTATGTAATTTTTCTCTCACACTCCACAATCTTGATGTGAGCTAAGCACCAACCCAACAATACGGCACCACCCAGTAAGAATTGTCGGTCCGACGCGACACCGATGAGAGACCGACGCGTCGGGCTTATCGGCCTGATGTGAGCCTGATGAAACAGCCCGATTCGACACCTTGTATCGGGCTAATTTGCAACAAAAACGTCGGAATTGTAGACCTCGAGAAAGTGCTCTCGCTCGATGCGTAAGGCCGATGTGAGTCCGATGTGGAGCAAAATTTTGTATGGCGCATCGGGCTCGCATCGGGGTGCCGATTTTCGCTTTTGAGCGGTTTCCTTTCAGAATGACACTCCGACGCGAAGCCGATGCGGAACAAAATAATGTTCGTGGCATCGGGCTCGCGCCGGGGTATCATTCTGAAATGAATCCACTCAAAAGGAATTAGATTACCAATAATAAAATAAGCTTAATAAATATAAGAATATGCATGATTATAATAGGAATCAGAAAAATAATACCGTAATACGAAAACGACTAATCAACATAAAATAACCTCTTTTTACGCGAACAGGAGAATTTTCGATTAATTTTGGAAACATTGGACTTGTGACCAGAAAATGGACCGTGGTGGATACGGGGTGCCCTCCCGGAAGATCCGAAACAACCGTAAAAGTGGCCAATTCATGAAATCGGCTCAAGAGCTCTGCGGTTTTTCCTAAAGATAAAATTTGGACTTATGACCAGATACATGGACCCTGGTGGCCACGGGGTGCCCTTCCGGATGATCCAGAGCAACCGTCAATGCATTGTGCTGAATGTGGTAAATTTAAGAAATTGGTTCTAGTGCTCTGCGGTTTTTCTAAAGCACTTCTACAGGACTCATTAGATAGCATTTGGACTTGTGACAAGAAAATGGACATGGGTGGCCACGGGGTGCCCTTCCGGAAGATCCGGAACAACCACAAATGTGGTAAATTCATGAAATCAGTCCTAGAACTCTGCAGCTTTTTCAAAAACACGTCTACAGGACTCATTATTGCATTTATACAGGACTCAATAGATAGCATTTGGACTTGTGACCAGTAAATGGACTCTGGTGGCGATGAGTTGCTCTTCCGGAAGATCCGGAACAACCGTAAAAGTGGCCAATTCGTTAAATCGGTCCTAGAGCTCTGCGGTTTTTTCTAAAGCACTTTTACAGGACTCATTATTGCATTTATACAGCACTCATTAGATATAATTTGGACTTGTGACCAGAAAATGGACCCTAGCGGCCATTGGGTGTCCATCCAGAAGATCCGGAACAATAGAAAAAGTGGCAAATTCATAAAATTGGTCCTACAGCTCTGCGTTTTTTTCTAACGCACTTCTACAGGACTCATAAGATAGAATTTGGACTTGTTTCCAGAAAATGGACCCTGGTGGCCATCGGGTGCCCTTCCGGAAGATCCGAAACAACCGTAAAAGAAGCCAATTCATGCTATTAGTCCTAGAGCTCATGTGGTTTTTCCTAAACACTTCTTCAGGACTTATTGAATATGGACTTGTGACCAGAAAATGGACCCTGGTGGTCACGGGGTGCGCGTCCGGAAGATCCGGAACAACCGTTAAAATTCGTAAATTGGTAATCGGTCCTAGAGCTCTGTAGTTTTTTTTTAAGCACTTCTACAGGACTTAACAGAAAGAATATGGACTTGGACCAGAAAATGGACCTTGATGGCCATGGGGTGTCCTTCCGGAAGATCTGAAACAAACTTTAATGTGGCCAATTCATGAAATCAGTCCTAGCACTCTGCGGTTTTTTCTTAAACACTTCTACAGGACTCATTAGATAGAATTTGGATTTGTGACCAAAAAATGGACTCTGGTGGCGACGGGGTGCCTTCCGGAAGATCCGAAACAACCGTAAAAGTGGCCAATTCATGAAATCGGTCCTAGAACTCTGTGGTTTTTTTTTAAAGCACTTCTACATGACTCATAAGATAGAATTTGAACTTGTGACCAGAAAATGGACCCTAGCGGCCATCGGTTCTCCTTCCGGAAGATCCGGAAAAACCGTTAGAGAAGCCAAATCATGATATTAGTCCTAGAGCTCATGTAGTTTTTTTTTTTTCTAAACACTTCTTCAGGACTCATTACATAGAATTTGGACTTTTGACCAGAAAATGTACCCTGGTGGCCACGGGGTGCCCTTCCGGAAGATCCGGAACAAACATTCAAATAACCAATTCATGAAATTGGTCCTAGAGCTCTGCAGTTTTGTTCTTAAGCACTTCTACAGGACTCAACAGAAAGAATATGGACTTGGACCAGAAAATGGACCTTGGTGGCCATGGGGTGCCGTTCCGGAAGATCCGAAACAGCCGTTAAAAAGGCCATTCATGAAATCCGCCCTAGAGCACTGTGGTTTTTTCTAAAGCACTCCTTCAGGGCTTATAAGATAAAATTTGGACTTGTGACCAGAAAATGGACCCTGGTGGCCAAAGGGTGTCCTTCCGGAAGATCTGGAACAAACGTAAAAGTGGCCAATTTATGAAATTGGTACTAGAGCTCCACGGTTTTTTTTTTTTTCTAAAGCACTTCCACAGGACTCATTATATAGAATTAAGACTTGTGACCAGAAAATGGACCCTGGTGGCCAAAGGGTGTCCTTCCGGAAGATCTGGAACAAACGTAAAAGTGGCCAATTTATGAAATTGGTACTAGAGCTCCACGGTTTTTTTTTCTAAAGCACTTCCACAGGACTCATTATATAGAATTAAGACTTGTGACCAAAAAATAGATCCTGGTGGCCATCAGCTACCATTCCGAAAGATCCGGAACAATCTTAAAAATGGTCAATTCATGAAATCGGTCCTAGAGCTCTGCGGTTTTTTTTCTAAAGCACTTCTACAGGACTCATCAGATAGAATTTGGACTTGTGACCAGAAAATGGTCCCTTGTGCCCACGGGGTGCACGGGGAAGATCCGGAACAACAGTTGAAGTGGCCAATTCATTAAATCGATCGTATGGCTCTGCGGTTTTTTCTCAAGCACTTCTACAGGACTCATTACATAGAATTTGGACTTGTGACCAGAAAATGAACCCTGGTGGCTATCGGGTGCCCTTCTGGAAGATCCGGAACAACCGTATATGCGGCCAATTCATGACAGCTTTGCGGTTTTTTCTTAAGCACTTCCACAGGCTTCATCAGATAGAATTTGGACTTGTGATCAGAAAATGGTCCATTGTGGCCAAAGAGACCCTTCCGGAAGATACGGAACAACCATGAATGTGGCTAATTCATGAAATCGGTCCTAGAACTCTGCCGTTTTTTTTTTCTAAAGAACTTCTACAGGACTCATTAGATAGGCTTTATACTTGTGGCCAGAAAATGGACCCTGGTGACCATCGGGTGCGCTTCTGGAAGATCCGGAACAACCGTAAAAGTGGCCTATTCATGAAATTGGCCCTAGAGCTTTGCGGTTTTTTATAAAGCACTTCTTCAGGACTTATCAGATAGAATTTGTTCTTGTGCTCAGAAAACTGTTCTTTGTGGCCACGGGGTGCCCTTCCGGAAGATCCGGAACAACTGTTTATGTGGCCAATTCATGAAATCAGTCTTAGAGCTCTACGGTTTTTTTTCTACAACACTTCAATAGGACTAATCAGATAGAATTTCAACTTGTGAAAAGAAAATGGACCCTAGCGGCCATCAGGTAGCCTTCCGGAAGATCTAGAGCAACAGTTAAAGTAGCCTATTCATGAAATCGGTCCTAGAACTCTGCGGTTTTTTCTTTAACACTTCTACAGAACTCATTAGATAGAATTTGGACTTGTGACCAGAAAATGGACCCTGGTGGCCATGGGGTGCCCTTCTGGATGATCTGGAACAACCGTTAAAATGGCCAATTCATGAAATCGGTCCTTAAGCTCTGAGCATTGGGTGCCCTTCTGGAAGATCTGGAGCAACAGTAAAAGTGGTCAATTCATGAAATTGGTCCTAGAACTCTGCGGTTTTTTATAAAACACTTCTACAGGACTTATTAGATAGAATTTGGACTAGTGATCAGAAAATTGACCCTCGTGGACACGGAGTGCCCTTTCGGAGGATCCGGAACAACAGTTGAAGTGGCCAATTAATGAAATCGGTCCTAGAGCTTTGCGTTTTTTTTTTCTAAAACACTTCTGCAGGCTCATTAGCATTGGCGTAGCTAGCACCCCCACTAGGGGGTGCAAAGGCATCCCTAGTTTCAATGTATGCACCCCTAGGACCAATGTAGGCCGCCCAGATTATTTATTACAAGTTCTTATTTTCATTTCACATAGAAATAGTAAAATTGAGATTATGCCGTGAGAGAAAAAGAAATTCGAAAAAATGATAGTTTTCCTTAGTTACGCCAATGCTCATTAGATAGAATTTGAACTTGTGAACAGAAAAAGGACCATAGCGGCCATCGAGTACCCTTTCGGAAGATCTGGATGAACTGTAAAAGTGGCCAATTCATGAAATCGGTCCTAGAACTCTGCGGTTTTTTCGAAAACACTTCTACAGGACTCATTAGATAGAATTTGGACTTGTGACCAGAAATTGGACCCTGGTGGCCACGGGTGCCCTTCCGGAAGATCCGCGATGTCACGCACACCAACGTATCGTCTGGCTCGGAAACCGCGTTTACCCGAAAACGTTTTTTTATTCAGGGTTCAGGTTGGCACTGAACCAGTTTCAAAAATAAATTCGCTATTAGTTCATAAGGAATAAGTCCGCCGAAGACACCCAGACGATACAACGTCAAATCGCACTTTTATAAGCGATTCCGCACTTTTGAGGAGTTCAGTTTCCAATGCAAAATACAATATTTAATGGTTTTTTTTACACGACTGTTTTTACGCGCTGAATTGGATATAAGGTAAGCGAGCCTGTTTTGGCACTACTTAAAATTTGTACCAGTTTTGGCATTAGCCCGTGTAATTTATATGAAGCTGGGCCAAAATAGGAACCATTGCGTATATGGGATTGTGCCAAAACTGGAGCATATGCCAAAACTGGAACACTTACCCTAGCGAGATTTTTAAACGTGATCTACTAG